AAAAAAAAAAAAAAAATTACCAGATTTAGCTCACATGAAACACCATACTCTTTCAAAGCACCTTTCACCATTGGCCATGCTTGTTGCAAGTATTTTTCTATTAAAAAAAAAATACAAAAAATCCCATAAGTCAAAAAATAAATAAATAAATAAATAAATAAATTAACAAGAAACTATCTTGATTATTAAACAATTTTCAAACTACTTCCGTCTAAGCTCGTAAGAAAAGTAAATTATTACCTCTGTATTGAGGGAAAAGAGTAGAGAAGGAGCTAACTTCGAGCAAGCCGCCTTCGTTCCAAGAAGGATCGAATTTTTCGATCTTCCAACGGTCGATGTTGGGGTCTTCGTCCCATGGCTTCGGTTTGTCGTGCTTTCCTTTGTGCTTCTTCTTCTCCATCACCGTCTCCTCCTCCATCATTTGATTGCGACTCGAATGGCGGCAACGAAGGAATAGGGATTCTAATTTTCTCGTTTGGCTGAAAAATTAGGGCGGAAAAAGAAAGCTCAAAGTGCAGGGAACGGATAGTTATAATAAGTGTTTGTTTTGGGCTTCAAGTTATTTTTTAAAGAGATAAGTTTTCTACAGTCTTCCTGTGTGAGATAAATTCTTTAACTCCAGTAGGTTCTAAAAATAACAAAAACACCCTCACTACTCAACATCATAAATCAGAATTCTTTTCCACACCCATTTTGCTCAATATACGCTCTCATAAAAGGTAAAACTTGATGTTTTAATTTAAGGGTAAAGATATTGTCTTAATTATTCAAAGTAATGAAATTTATCAAAATCGAAAAGAAAATAAAAATGAATCCCTTCTTTTGTACATGTATTTCTTTCTCTTTCAGTCGCTGGATTTGCCACTAGTGTAATGTAATAGGAAAACCAATAAGAGGATCCATAAATACAATAAAGAATGGTAGATTAAATTATTTCATAATAACTTTCAGCTATAAAATATTTTCGAAATAGTTTATTAACCCCTCCTTCAATTATTTATTAAAAGAGTAATGCGTATATAAAGTATAAACCGATGATATAATTTTTTTGAATGATATATTATTTATTTATATTTACTGAATTAACTTTTTATAAACACATTTTGTGATACGACAAATTATATAAATAAGTCATGCGTATATAAAATATTCTTATTTAAAAAATAAAAAATAAAAAACCTTTTACTTCCATTATAGCAGTTTTATGGGAAGGTAAAAATAACAAAAACAGTAAACATGGAAAAAGTGTTATAAGTTTATTTCGTCACAGAAACATTGTTTTAAAACCCGGACCGGAGGGCAAACCGTTTTGCTGTCCGGGTCACGGTTCAATCGGTCCAACCGGTTGGACCGGTCGGTTGGACCGATGACGTCAACAATATTTTATTTTTAAAAAATTACATATTAACCCCTTTAATCTTAATATATTACAAAAATTTCCCTAAAAAGTTTAAATTGGTCCCTAAAATTTTTATTTATTCCAAAAATACCCCAATAAAATTACCAATTAATCCCTAAACTTTTGATATATCCTCAAAATACCCCTATAAAATTACAAAGTAACCCTCATAATTTTAAAATATTTCAAAAACCCCCCTGAGACCTAAACCGGACCGGAGAAGCTACCGGTTCACGGTCCAACCGGTCCGACCGGCCGGTCCGGTCCGGTTTTTAAAACAGAGCACAGAAATAGTAAAACAATTTCCAAATTGGATAAAAAAGGGTACTTCAGTTGCAATACAGCTGATGATTCACCGGATATTATGCATTCATAGCAGTTGTGTTCTATTGCTGCACATTTCACTCAAATAATTCCACGTCAAAACTAGAAATGAAAAACAGAAATTCTGTTATTGATTAATCAAAATTTTATTTTCAATTTCACTCATCACAATCTATAGACATTAGAAAAATATAAAATAGAACCTGACTCCCAATCGATATCGACACCTCTTCTCAGGAACACATAAGTCAGCACCACAATCAAATACAATACAACTCATCCAATTTGGTGTCTTCCCAAGGGATTGTCATTTTCCAATACAGATACAGTATCATTACACCAGGGAGTTAAGAAATTAGATAACGGCAAAGTATCATTAACCAAAACTATTCATCCTTTTCTAATCGTTGACACATAACGGGTATCTGCATCACCTGGTATCGTAAAATTTCCTCTGTAAGCTTTACATATGTTCTAGCTGAAATCAGATGTCAGTTCGTGTACTGAGAGATAACCTGCAGGTTCAAACCCCTCTATTTAGTTTCATAAGAATTACCAAATTTACAAGAAAATACAAGCACTTGGATAAGGTGAAAATGACGCATTTCAACTAAACGGTTAAACATTATTAGAGCAATTTGTATTTTTAGCCTCTATGCAGTGTCAAGGGAAACCGGATGAAAATTTTTTATCTGCTGAATAAAATTATTATTAAAAATAGATCACACATAAAATTATGGACATCTATATGAGACAGTTAACTTGCCTCTGATATTAATGGCTTGGCATGCTCTTCCCACTCGGTAGCCCACCTTGCAGAAGAACCCGTTGCCAATGCACCATTTCTCAACAACTTCAGAGAATCACATTGATCCGGAAAACCCTTAAAGAGCATCTTCAAAGATAAACTAGGAAAAACTTTAAGTATCCATCCGAAAACAATCCAAGCACTTATGCTAGTGAAGCAAACAAACTTACCAGAAGTTCATCAGCTAGCTCTGAAGATGATGAAAAAAGAAGGCCATTTTTCTCAACTTTAACAAGTTCTTCAATGCTTCATAAAGATCAAAGCAACATTACTATTACTAAGGAGAATGTAGCATCCAAACAACATAAAACCATGAAAGTATGCATCATATGCAGAGTGATCAAAGATAAGAAACAAGGATTCACCAAGAGTAGGAAACAGCACAAACAGGCAGTCCACAACCAAACATATCCACTACCTGGTAGCCAATAAGAGATCATTTTAGTGAATTTGGTAAAATGAGAGATTGCTTAAACAACAACGTTATTCTTACCACAAGTACGCTGTAAAACTTCAAGCTATAACTTAAACTCTATAATAACACACCTTCATTGGGAGGTCTAACCCCGATGATGATGTATGCAGACAAACACCCAAGTCTGCTGATCCTGTAATTGAGAAAGACAATAAAATTAACAAATAAACAAGAAATAGAGAACAGTAAAAAGAAATAAAAACCTACAAAGCATTTTATTTCTTGTTTGGAGGGGGGAGATTCCCCAAGAAATTATAAACAAATTAAAAATACATAACCTACCAAGAAGCAATGGATAATCCTCAGCTGAGAGCCACATGGTACGAAATGCCACATGTTTAAGGCGTAACCTCCTGATTTTCTCTTCATATTTTTCTTTCTCAGGTCCTTTGCCTTCGTCAAGGAAAAAAAAAAATCTCAAGTGACTAGGTGTCCATGTGGATGCTAACATTGCATAAGAAGCAACAGAATTATACCAGTGATGATAAACAATAACCTAGGGTACAAGCATTGCTTCTCATCAGAAATTTCTTTCCAAAGAATCTCTTCACTGGTTGAATCATCTTCATTCAATATTGCTGCAACACGTCTATCATACATCACAGCTGCTTCCAGCAGAATGCCAAAATTTTCATCTGGAGTCCTGAAAAAACATGTCATTATCTAAAATAAATAGCCTGTCTCGCCATATTTTTGTCAAAAGTAGATGATATCATGTCATTGCAGACATAGTACATTTAACTTTCCGGGTAAACACATACAAGCAGCAGCCATATATGCATTCAGATATGGAATCAGCAAATATTAATGGGATCCTTCTAACCTAGTTGAAAAACCGGATAGTGTTTGAATCCTTCTAAACTAGTTGAATACACCATAAAGCAAGTTATCAGTAATAGTAGCACCATAAGAACAAAATTGATCCACCTTGAGCACTTCTATATTCTATACTCATTGTGATTCATCTATTATTACACCAGTATAGTCCAATCAAAAACTAATCAATCATACTCACTGAATGAGATTCACATGCATCAGCTGCACAAATGAATCATAGGTTTATAATAAATATGGCCATAAATGATAGAAGAATAGGCAACCTTGCACTATCTTGCATACGTTTGCTGCAAAATTTTAGTATAAGAGCCAACATTCAATAATCGAATTTTAAAATTAGTTATGACCACTTTCTTTAGTGAAATATTTATTATGAGGAAAACTCTAAAAGTAGATATACTGCCTTCCATCTTCAACTATTATAACAATAATAATAAACCAGGTCCTCTCCAGCATAATCATACACAACATATTTAAATCATAAATGGGGGCCTTCCCTCAATGTTTATGAGCCATATACACATATTTCTGAGGCTTATTACTTATTAGCGAGCCAGAAGAGGAGAAGATAGAGAGATTTTATACAGAACCAGAACAAGAAAGTCAATGAGATATTAAAAACTCATAAAAAGCTTAGCACACATAATATGATATGCAAAACAGCTTTTATATCATAAACATGGCAACTGATAAAGGCACAGCAGCAAGCATGAATAAAGGGCATGCAAACCAAGTAAATAAGTATTTAAGTGTTTATATCATTAAAAAAATTTCACAAAAAGATGAACTCACCAGCTCGTACTGCTTACCACAAGAGCTGGCCTGTTAGGCTTTAAGAAAACAGCAGTGCCAGACTGAGTTGTAAACAGAGTCTCATCTGTGTGGGGGCTCCCGATCCCTAAAAGTGTAAATATAAAGGTAACAAGTTGTCCTGTTACAATCCATGAACCAATAGGAACTACAGAATAATTGGGTGACGAAACTTACCATTATTGATACAATCTTGAATACCAAGAGGCTGACAAAGATTCTTATCCAGTCTATAAAACAACTAAAAGTGATCCACAATTTAGAATAATATTTTGAACCATATATTCTGGATTTGACCACGGAAAAAGAAATGTAATTTACCTTATGTTTCTCGTCAAGTGATGTTGGATTGAAAAACTCCGGAGGCTGATCATATAATACAGTAGCTCTATCAATTTGACACAAGAATCCAGAACTCACCATTAGAATACTTCATCATAAAGTCTAATACAGAATCAAACTGTGACTGTGAGCTGACCATCTTACTTGATTCCCCAGTTTTGAGCCAATTCATGTTGCATTGCCTGTGTTACACACAGAGCACCATTTGCCATCTTCCCAAAATACTTCTCAAACCTAAGAAAAGAATAGTCACATCTGTTATATAGCTAACGAGCTGTCATAAAAAAGAAAGTGAAGTTTAGAGATCAACTTTATTGGTACCAGTGGTATACTGAAACAAAGCGACTACTTCTTCCCAGGGACAAACCGAGCAACGTGTATCCAAAATTATGCCAATCAACAATAAACGCAGACTTTCTCAGT